GACACACACCACCATGCCCAGCTAATTTTTTGTATTTTTAGTAGAGACGGGGTTTCACCATGTTGACCAGGATGGTCTCGATCTCTTGACCTCGTGATCCACCCGCCTCGGCCTCCTAAAGTGCTGGGATTACAGGCTTGAGCCACCGCGCCCGGCCTACAAGACTTTTAAGAATGCACATACACCTGAGAGCAAGTTCCTCTGGGGAGGGAATTGAAAGTAAAAAGATGCTTCTTAGAGAAACTGAATTGAGAAGCCAAATAATTAGAAATAGATCAGAGAAGTTGCAGGAAACCCAGAAAGAAACAGATTAACTGATCAGCTGCAGATCAGTAAAAAGGAATCCAGGCAGCCTGCAGCCATGGAAGATAATTGTTCTGGCAGAAAGGCCCCGAGAGAAAGAAAGAGGGGTGCACTGGGGAGCTGCATGAGAATGAGCGCCAAAGAGAGTATGTCAGAGACCTGCCCTGTCTCTGCGTCCAGAGGTGATGCGTGGGGCACACCAACAGAAGAAAGAAGAGGTCTTGCTTTTTTCCAGCCCAGGAAAGCCCAGAGATGCGCTGGCTCCAAACGGAAGCCACAGCTAAGAAAGGAAGCTGAGATGAACAGGTTATCAGGGTGGCAGGTTGTGTCAAGTGACCAAGTAAAGAGGCTCCGCACTTGCACCTCCCAACCTGTGTAGGTTGCCCCCTCCCATTCTCCGGGTACTGCCAGTAAAAACATCTGTGGCCCAGTTTACTGCCTAAGCATGGTACCTACTATGGCAGCAGGGTCAGTCAGAAGGAGAAAAGGTGTGGGAGGAAACTCCTGTGTGGCCTCCTTTAGGGGCGGATGGTGGGAAGCAGAAGACCGAGGTGCTGCTATTTTGCCATCATCAGGGGTGATTCCATCACTGCTCACTGACTTGCTGCACCCACCCATTTCTACTGAGAACCAAGAGCAGTAGCTTTGCTTCTTTACAGGCTTTACAATGGCCTATTCCAGGAAACAGTCTCTTGTCCTCTCCAAGAACTCAGTCTCCACCTTTCATCCCAGTGTGCGTAATTACGTTCCCACGTGCAATTGCTGCGCCTGATGCAGCAGGTGCCCCCACTTGGCTAAGTGCTTGCCTACCTGCTCACCATCAGGACAGGTGGCATTCCAAAGGAGGCTCCCCTCTGTTCGTGCGCCTATTATTGGGTGTGTAATTTCTACCCACAAAGGCTCTCTCATGCTGTCTCTGGGCTTTTACCCTACTGCTGTTTGTGGCCTTCCTTACATACAAAGCTGCCTGCCCTCCCACATACCCACTCTGAGCTTTCCCTTGCCAAGCAGGGGAAGGAGAGGAGGGAGGTGCTGCAGCCCAGGGGATCATCAGATCAGAGTCTCTAAAAGGTGGAGGGACCTCTGTGAAGGAAAGCATGAGAAAGCTTTAGAAGCAGGCAGAGCTGGCCAGCCACTGGCAAGCTGCAGACAGCAGGAAACACTTCCCCCAGTCAAACCAGCCTCACCCAGGCTGCTCCCTGAGGCCTTCAATTCCTGTAATGCAGCCAAGCTTTTCATTCCATAGCTCGAGAACAGACCCTTGGGAGTGAAACTCCAGACGGAAGCACACATGTAGATACAAATGAGGGCTACATACTCCTGCCTGAGAGCAAACCTTGCCACCTGGGGGTCTGTGACCTTGGGTGCTGGAAGGTGGGTATCTGTTCTCCCACTAACTGAACTGCACTGCCTTTCAAAAAAGGTGCCTTTATCCTAACCCCTGAAAACAAATAATCACCTTTGCATGGGTGCCTACAAGCCTTAAAAAGAAACCTGTGCTACTGTGAAAACCAAGCTCAAATGTATCTCTCAAAAGAAAATTCAGAGTTTCCTGCCTCAGGTTGCCCCAGGCACTGGCCTTCCATGAAGATCAGCAGGGCTGCTTTGCAAAGCCTTACACCAAGAGAAAATGGTATTCTATCCTAAAATATAGGAGCTCATGCCTGTAATCCTAACACTTTGGAAAGCTGAGGTGGGAGGATCACTTAAAGCCAGGAGTTCAAGACCAGCCTGGGCAACATGGCAAAACCCCATCTCTACAAAAACATTTTTAAAAAAATTATGAGTGTGGTGATGCATGTCTGTAGTCCTGGCTACTTGGGAGACTGAGTCAGGAGAATCACTTGAGCCCTGGAAGTTGAGGCTATAATGAGCCGTCTCCAAGTCACTGCTCTCTAGCCTGGGTGACAGGGTGAGATTCTTTCTTTAAAAAGTTAAATTTTAAAATTAAAATATACATAAAATACAAGCAGCGCTACTCAGGAGTTAACAGAAAAACTCCCTAGCCAACTACATTTCTCTGAAAAATAATGGGAATCTCAGGGTCTACTTTTTCTCCAAGAACTTAAAGGAGGGTAGGAGTTTTTGGGAATTTCCAGAAAATGTCTGGAAATCTTACTCATGTGGGTTCTAGGATGTCCTTGAACCTAATAAAACCTGATGTCCAAATAAATGTCCTTGATGTCACATGACCACCAGCCCGCTAACTGTGGTGGAAGGCCAGGAATTCACTAATCTTCTCCTGGCAGGGTGCGGACTCTAGAAACAAAGATGTTGCAGCCAAATCAGCCCGGAGTGTCCGAGATTCTCAGGAAAGCCAAAGGGGTCAAGGACCTCAGGGACAAGGAGCGCCTTGGCGCTCACCCAGGTCCTGAGCTTCCTCCCGCTCCCTCCACCTCTGCCTGTCTCCAGCCTCCTTCTCCACTTGCTGCTTCTGAGCAGCACTTTCTCTTCTTCCTGGAAGGTGAAGCTATTAGCAAAAGCAAGGAACTTGCTTAGCTGGGAATTTGGGGCGACCAGATTCTTCTGTTTCTGTCCTCATTTTCGACAGGAAGAGATGTCCCCATTATCTAGCCCCTCGTATTTGTGAGTCTCTCTGGGCATCGTCATCTGTTTCTAGAGATCCCCAAGCCAAGCCTGTACCTTCTCCATCATCTCTCTTCCCCACCACAACCCAACCCTTGATTCTTGGGCTTGAGACTATATGTAGGCTGGGCACGGTGGCTCAAGCCTGTAATCCCAGCACTTTGGGAGGCTGAGGCGGGAGGATCACTTGAGGCCAGGAGTTTAAGACCAGCCTGAACAACACGGTGAGACCTCATCTCTACCAAAAAATAAAAATAAATTAGCCTGGCATGATGGTGTGTTGCAGCTACTTGGGGGTCTGAGGCGGGAGAATCGCTTGAGCCTGGAAGGTTGAGGCTACAGTGAGCTGAGATTGCAACACTGCACTCCAGCCTGGGCAACAAAGTGAGACCCTGTCTCAAAAAATCAATTAATTAAATGTTGATAAGACTATATGGATTTCCAGACAGTACCACAAGGGGAAGGTGGCCATTTGTTGGTGAGAACAAATAAATGACTGCAACAGACTGAGCCCTTTGAGTAGCTCAGGCCTCACTCACCTTTTCGGCTATCAGGAAGTCATAGCGAAGGGCCTCTCGAGTGCAGATGGCGCCCAGGAGGAAGACGAAGACGATGTACAGAAACCACCTGCAAAACCCAAGAGCAGAGCAGAGCTGCCCCCCACTCACCTCACCCAGCCCCATCCACTCCCCCCACTCAACCTTCCATTTCCTATGGGAACCTGCCTCAGAATAAGAGAAAGGCTAGTCATGAAGCCTCCCCAGCTGGCTTGGGAGGACGCTTTTTGTACTATTTCTCTTCTGGCATATTTCTTACCAAAAAAGGGGTACCATTGTTTTTTTTTTTTAATGTACATAAAAATATGGAAGGCTTCACGAATTTGCATGTCATCCTTGCACACAGACCATGCTAATCTCTTTATTGTTTTGATTTTAGTATACGTGATGCTGAAGTGAGTGCTATTTTATCTCATTCTTACATTAAAAAAGAAAAACACACAAAGGGCGTTTGGAGTAGGGAAGAAGGAGGCCCAGTTGCCTCTAGGTTACCAGGATTCGGGCCAGGGTTGCCCAGCAGCCTCACACCCCAGCCTCCTACAGCAAAAGAACAAGTTGATGATCCTTCAGGCCTCTAAGTCCCGTTGGATCAAATAAAGAGGGAAACTAAAGTCACAAGGCAGAGAGCAGTGGCCTGGCTCTGTCCCCAAGATGCCCTGCAACCTTGAACAAGACACAGGTTCCTGTGGTCTCCTCACTCCCATCCTGACCCAGGATGGGCCAGGGGTTCCTCCTAGAACCTCCCAGCTGGAACGAGAAACAAGACAGGATCCTCATACAGAACCCTCTTTCTTTTATTTCCTTCCCAACACTCAACTCTATCACCATTGTCTTTATTTTCTTCCCAATGTGATTGCCTTATTTTGCACAAAATAGCCTGATGCTCTGTGCCAGGCTGATAGCAATGGTGTCACTACAATGAGCTAAGAGCAAATTCAGTGTTTGTGAGACAGCTACGTTAATATTTTCTAAATACTGTCGTTAGAATAACACAGGCCCTTTTCACTTCTCAACTCATTGTCTCTGGTCTCTGAACTCATTGCCTCTTTACACTCACCCAATGAAGGGCAGAGGAGTTTCTTCCTGTGGTACAGAAATAGAAGATTCTGAAAGGTCAGAAATAGACCCAAGGTTACCCAGCCTGCTCATGTGGGTGGCACAGTGTGAACTAAAGCCCCAGAGGCCTGACGGCCTGGGGGAGCTGGAGGGGACGCTCGCTGGGGGAAGGAGAGCTGGGTGCTGAGTTTCCACTGTGTGCCTTCTACTCTCTCCCCCACAGTCTATGAAGCACATACACTGTCATTATCCCCATTTCGTGGGAAAGGAAATGGAGGCTCAGAGAGCTTAGTCAAGTGTCCAGAGTCATGCAGCCAATCAGCGGCAGAGCTGAGATGCAAGCCCGAATTCATCTGATTGCAAAACTCTTCATCTTTATGCTCCCTCCAATGATCCTGGAAACTTGGTGGTTAAAAATCCCCAAGTTCAACCAGGGGGTGGGGGAGGGAGGGGGGCGGAGGGCTGAGAAAAGAAAGGATTCCATCTGTGATCTGGGTCCTGACACTCCTCCTCGGCAGCATTCCCAGGCAGGGCGCATGAAAGGGCAGTGTCTGAACCCACCAGACGTGAATTTTCCAGCCCACCGAGTGTTAAAAGAAGAATCATAATATGAAATAGATTGGTCACAGCCGGGGCACTCTCAGAACAACAGGGGCAATCCCCTCTTCTGCCTGGCGTTTTCTCTCCCACTCTCCAGCTCAAACTGATTGCCATGAGGGGAACTTACGAGATGCCAACAGCTGCCAGGGAGCCCAGGGGAATGTTGGTGGCAGGCTCCCTGAGGTCGCCCCCCATGTTGAAGCCGGCCATCACTCCTGAAAGACACCCAGATGGGGAATGGGGTGACGCAGCCTCCTCCACGCATCGCCTCCCCCAGGGCTGCCCCTTCCACTCCTCCGGGACCCTCTCCTGGAAGCTGTCCCACGGCAAGCCCTCCAGCTGCAGCTCTGCACACAGGCTGCTTCTCAATCTCCCCTGGCAACCGGGGAGGCATCCCTGTGGTGTGAAAGGGACCTTTGTGGGTTAGGGGATGCTCAAGAGGAAGGCCGTCCCAGCTCCAAAAGCATCCTACCGCTCAGAGCAAAGCAACCATGGGGGAGGAAGGCGGCTTGCAAGGCACACAGAGGTCCTGGGCTGCTTGCTGAGCTGTGACAATGTCCTGGAGAGGCTCAGCATTACAGAGGTCTGGCAGCCTCCTGCTCAGCGGCTTTCCCTGCCTCTGCTCCCTGCTGATTGATTTCATGGGAGTGTCCTGTGTCCTTGGGGTCAGGTACCACCCTCCAAGCCCCTGAGTTACCCAAGGGTTTGAAATAAACTCCAAAAAACCAATTCTGATGCCACTGACATGGAGTCACAAGCTCCTTTTCATCATCACCTCTCTTCTGCAAGAACACGAATGAAAATGAATTCATCCAGTGAGGGACTCACAGCGCAGTGCTGCATAGTGAGGTGAGGTGGGGATGTTTCTTCTTCCCACACAAACAAATGTATGAAAGCAACAAGACAAAGTGTTCTGAACCCACAAGTGCCCCCACAACTCAGAGTGCTGGGCTGCCCTGGTCAGGAAAGCCCCCTAGATGGGGTGCATCTTGAATGTGGCCTTGAAAGAGAGATTCGAATGGGCTTAGGGCTAGGAATGAATCTAACACCATGATTTGTGAACACTTTCAACCTGCCTGGGCCTGTGTCAAGTGCTTTACATGCATTTTTTAAATGCTGTTTAATTCTCATGACAACCTCATCAAAAAAGTAGAATTATTTCCTCATATTATAGAAAAGTACTCAAAGAGGTTAATTAAAACAGCCTAAGGTCACACATTTAATAAGTGGCAAAGCTAAGATTCAACCCTGGTCTGTCTGACTCTGAAAATTATGCTCTTAATGCCTCTGCTATAATGCTTCACAGAATCCAAGTGAAGCACAGTGAAGTGACAGTTTGGAACCAGAAAGTGAAAGTGGCGGCAGGGAAAAGAGGGTGGGTATTTCAGAGAGAAGCTTGAATGCTGGCCCACGGATGCGGGCTGCACGTACTGTCATCCGGCAACTCTACTGCTCATAGACTTGACTGTCTACTTTGGAGAAAGTAGCAGAGTTTATCCAAAGCAGATAGTCAAAGCTATAAGTGAAGATTTAGCCCAGCGTGTTTATAAATGCTTGCTTCAAGTACTGGAAATGAGAAACAACCTAATGTCTAAAGATAGAGGATTGGTAATGTAAGTGATGATATAGCTTTCAATAAATACTAGGTCTCAGAATATTGTAAGAGATATGCTGTGATATGGAAAGATCTTTAGAAGATTTTGCTTAGTTTTAAGAAGCATGTTACAATACAGAACGCATATGGTATGAGCCCATTGTTACAAAAATATGTAGAAAAAGGAACTTGAACATGTTTTAAAACATTAACAATGTTATTTCTGGGTGATAAAATAACAGGTCATTTTTATTTGACGGTTTATATTTTCTCAATTTTCTACAATGATCATTTTGAAACATAGGAAAACGAACTTTTAAGGGTTTTATTTTTTTTATTTTTTTTTAATGCCATGTTAGGCACATTCTCTTTCCTCTCATTCCCCTCCTCTCCAAGATCCTATTAAAAGGATAGTAAAGGGGAAAAGTGGATAAATTCCTATAAGCAAAGAAGGGAGGGAGACCCTAAGCAGATGGAAGGTTCCCACAGATGTCTGGAACATAGAACACAGAAAATGGAGAACATGACACAGAGGAAAAGGGAAGGAAAGAAAGCCTTGGAATGCTTCTCTACAAGATCTGAATACACTGAGGGAAACCAGGGCTGGATGTTTGCATTCCAAATGAATCCCTGCTCAAGAATCAACAGCACTCACAAACTCTTCTCATCAAGGTAGGGCCCCAGCAGGGAGGCAGACCTAAACGCATGACAGCAGGGGAAATCCATGCCCACAACCAAGGTCACCCCATGCATGATGAAAACCAGCAACAAATAAACAAATATAAGCACAAATAGAAACAGAACAACCCATGCTGGAAGAAGCATATAAATTCTCTCAGAATACAGAGAGAATTAAAAGAAAATACTAATTCGTAGCTCCAGATACATCCAAGAAGAATATTCTATCTATAAAACAAGGTGCTATGAAAAAAAAAAATCCAAGAACAAGAAAGAACTTTTGGAAACTAAAAATATATCACTAAAATTAAAAATGCAATAGATTTAAGGGCCAGGCCTGGTGGTTCATGCCTGTAATCCCAGCACTTGGGGAGGCCAAGGCAGAAGGATCACTTATGGCCAGGTGTAGTGGCCCACAACTGTAAACCCAGCATTTTGGGAGGCCAAGGCAGGCAGATCATCTGAAGTCAGGAGTTTGAGACCAGACTGACCAACATGGTGAAATTCTGTCTCTACTAAAAATGCAAAAATTAGCCAGGCATGATGGTGTACACCTGTAATCCCGGCTACCTGGGGGGTTGTGGTAGGAGGATCGCTTGAGCCCAGGAGGTGGAGTTTGCAGTGAGCAGAGATCATGCCATTCACTCCAGCCTGGGTGACAGAGCTCTGTCTTAGGGAAAAGAAAAAGGAAAAGAGAAGAAGGAAGGAAGGAAGGAAGGAAGGAAGGAAGGAAGGAAGGAAGGAAGGAAAGAAGGGAGGGAGGGAGGAGAAGGAAGGAAGGAAGGGGAGGAGGAGGAGAAAGAAGAGAAGGAGGAAGAGAAGAAGAAAGAAGGAGGAGGAGGAGGAGGAGGAGGAGGAGAAGGATCCCTTGAGGCCACAAGTTTGAGGCCAGTTTAGGCAACACAGTATCTCTTCATAAAATAAAAAAGTTATCCAGGCATGGTGACACACACCTGTAATCCCAGCTACTCAGGAGGCTGCAGCAGAAGGATCTTGAACTCCTTGAACCCAGGAGTATAGGGCTGTGGTGAGCTATGATCACACCACTGTACTCCAGCCAGGGCAACAGAGTGAGACCCTGTCTCTAAAACAAACAAAAAGATTTGAAAGATAAAGTTAAGTAAATATCCCAGTATTTAAGACAGAAAGATAAAGAAATAGAAAATACGGGTGAAATAGAGGAGAAATTTTGGAGTTATAACAACCAACTAACAGGATATCTAGAAAGAGAGAACAGAGAAAAAAGAAAATAACCAGACAGACAAAAGAAATAAATTCCCCCTAACTGAAGATAGAAGTCTTCAGATTGAAATATCCCACCAAGTATCCAGCACAAAGAATGAAAAAAAAAAAAAAAAAACTATACCTAAATGCATCATTGTGCCATTTCAGGAGAAATCCTAAATGCTTCCAAAGATTAAAACATTTACAAAGCAACAAAAATTAGATTGGCATCAGACTTCTCATCAGCAACACTAAACATTAGAAAACAATGGAGCACTGATTTTAAAATTCTGAGGGAAAATTATTTTGAGACTGTATTTTAGCTAGATTACCAATTGAGTGGTTAAATAGACAAGAGTTCAGAAAATTTACTTCTCCCATACCATTTCTAAGGAAGATACTAAAGTATGTTTTCCAGCAAAATGAGAATGTAAACCATGAAGGAGAAAAACATGAGATTTAGAAATCAATGGTGATAACTGAGGAATGCAGTGAAGTTCCAGAATAAGGGCTGTACGGCAGAGAAACTACCAGGGATTAAAGCAAAAAATGGAGGCTCCAGGAGGGATGCCTCTGGAGAGGAAATACTTTAAGCAAAATGGGCAATATAATTAAACTAAATGATTTTTAGGATATACTGACTGCACATTTTGGCAACAACATAAAAAGAAAAGTTACTGAAACTCCAGGAAAAGTGAACAAGAAAGTTAAGGTTTACAAATAGCTAGAAGGGGGATATTGAATGTCTCCTATACAAAGAAATGGTAAATGTTTGAGTTGATGGGTATGCTAATTACTCTGATCTGATCACTATACATTATATGTATCACTACATATCCCAAAAATATGTACCATTGTTATGTTTCAATTTTAAAATTTTTAAATAAAAATTAAAATCTTAAATTTTAAATCTAAATTAAAAAAATAAAAATTTATGTTAAAAATTAAAAAAAGAAAGGTAAGCTCTAAGTATGAAGCAAACCAAAATGTGACATGATTTTAAACAACTAATAAAATGTTAGAAAAATTCTCTCATTTGACCGTGGTGTAGGAACTTTCTCTCCTAAATGGCACAAGAACCATATGAGAATCACAGTGAAGAAAATGAAATTCTACCCCACCACTTTGCTCTTCAGTGAGCAACAGCTGCAGAGTCATAATCCTGTATTTGCTTATTGTTCTTTAACTTCTAAAATTGGCCTATTCACAGAGCACAAAGGACATAACTATTGACATGGTTTGGATCTGTGTCCCTGCCCAAATCTCATGTTCAATTGTAATACCACGCTAGAGGTGGGACCTGGTGGGAGGGGATGGGATCTTGGGGGTGGATCCTTCATGAATGGTTTAGCACCATTCCTTTGGTGCTGTTTTTGTGATAGAGTTCTCACAAGATCTAGTTGTTTAAAAGTGTGTGGCACCTCCCCCCTCTCTCTGGGTCCTGCTCCTGCCATGTGAAGACACCTGCTCCCCCTTTGCTATCTGCCATGAGTAAAAGCTCCCTGAGTCCTCCCTAGAAGCAGAAGCTGCCATGCTTCCTGTATAGCCTGCAGAGCCACGAACCAATTAAATGTCATTTTTATACATTATCCAGTCTCGGGTATTTCTTTATGGCAGTGCCAGAATGAACTAATGCAATTATGAGTTGTGAAACAGAATACAAATATTATCTATCTTGACAATGTAAAAGGCTATGGCTAACTGACATTAGGAGGTGAA